TCACTGAAAAGAAATGAGACTCTTGATAAATGCCTATTGTGCTTAATGTAGGCAATTTTTTCATGTGTTTCATCAATTAGTTACATGATAAAACAGCTCCTTTTTATGCCTCAGTCGTTTTCCCTGTCAGACAGTTGTTTTCCATTTTGTTTTGGTGATTTAAATTATGGTTTTGTTATAATAGTTAATATTATACTAATTTTGAATTATGAAAATATAAGATGCTCTTTTTGTACATGTATGTGTGAACATGTATCAAGGACATCAAAACCAATGTAAACAGAGATCCCTTTATAGTATCTATAACTCAAAATACATGAATAAGGCTGCATGCCTTATTTTTGCATTTGTGAATCTTTTTTTTCTAGTTGTATTGCTAGTTTAAGGAATCAAATTTTATCCTTTGTATTCCAGTACTGATCTTTAGTCTCTCTTTTTCTAAGTACTATTTCAATTATCCATAATAAACAGGTAAAACCAATTTTAAATAAAGTATAACTTATTTTTACTTTTACTTTAAAATCAAACATCATAATAAAGCTCTCATATTTTTCCAAAATATGAGTCATATGAGCAGGTAACATGCAACTATTTTTCCTTTTTTATCTTAACTTTTAAAAATTACTTACACTCCTTTGTTTTGGTTCCTTTTACACTATTTTAAAGCTTGATAATTTTCAGTTAGTTCCACAACACCAACACTGATAGCATTGAGCTTAATAAATTAGCAAGGTAGAATTTGGAAAATATGCCAAATCAGAAGACATTTTAATTAATTAACACCATGGGAAAGACTGATGTCTATCTGTTGTCTGTACCTAAATATGGAATCACAGAATCATTAAGGTTGGAAAAGACCTCCAAGATCATTGAATTCAGTCTTTGTATCTCCTTCTCTGTTTGTATATTGGCACACAAAATTGCTTTTGCTATTTTTAACTAAGGTTGTTGGACATATCTTACTAAACATAAATGGAAATAAGCAAGTAATTTCTTCTGATACTATTTACAGTGCAATACATGTTACCTTACTTCACCTTCCTTCGATGTTGCTCCCTGTGTTCTCAGTACATTCATTTTAATCACTTATTTTGAATTCTGGCTACTTTCTGCTTATGTATGCAAAATTTCCAATTATTCTTTTATAGTTAAAGTAATCTTCATTAAATGTGAATTGATATGCATAAGTAAGTGCAATACAGGATGTTAGATTGTTCTAGAGTATGAATATATGTTTTGGAAAACTTAAACAAGTAGATAATCTGTGGTGTGAAAGCTTGTTCTAAAAATGCATTTCTTTTTTAAAAATTAATTTGATCCTTCCAATATGCGTGCAAGGGGAATTATGATTGTACATTGGCTATTCAGGATGAAAGTTGTTGGAAGTAGAAGTCTGAGAAAAGTAAATGATAAGGATAGTGACATGAAAAATGGATTCAGTTTATGACAACTAAATTTAGGTATCAAAATGGAGGCGTCTGTGGTGAAGTAAGTATCTTCCTTTGCTTTATAGTTAAGAGCAGCCTAGTCAATATGTAGTGTTGTTACAACATGATTCAGCCAGCATAGCAATAGGCATCCCAGTTCTGAATGGAGTCACTTTCCAAGCTACATTGTCCGTAATAGGAAATTAGATTCTTAGCTCATGTTTAGATACTTACTTTTAGATACATCAATTTAGGTGTTATAAGTTTGAATTAAATCCCACTTAATGTGTCACACACAGCTCATTACTTTGATTTTTGGCACTTGTGCTGGTATGCAGAGCAGGTTAGCATCCCTAACAAAAATTCATCAGGTTTCTATGGACAGACTTTCAAAATATTTAATAATACAGTCTTGACACTTGTTTGTATGGGTGACACTAATTGTACATAAACACTGTTTTTGTGCCAGCCACATAGTATTTAATTTTTTTCCTCGTGTCATCTTAACCCACCTTTTCTTGCTAACTGCATTGTTTTCCATGTGTCTGCACTGCCACGTCCCCACAGAATATTGCATAAGCGGTAAGTGGGTGCTTGTGTTCCTGGAGTTTGTGACAATGAGACTCACTGAGCCCAGGGAGGAACTGGGTGAATCCACTCAGAGGTGTCAGTACTCGTAATGCTCCCAAGAAGGATGGCTGTCTGGCTTTCTAAAGCCAAATCCCTCAGACCTGGAAGCCTCAACACAGTGACACACAGTTTGCATGGCATCACTTGCTTAGATGTCCAGGAGCCAGCATGGCAAAGATCAAATACTTCCACAGGGAAATTGGGAAATGCAGAACTTTAGCAACACTGTTTTCTACAGTGCACTGAGTAACTGAAGGGAATATTGTAAGTAAACAATTTGCACAGCTCTGCATGGACTCGACACATTAAAAATATATCAAAAATGTTAATCATCTCTTCCTCTTCACATCTTCCTTTCTTAACTTATCCTGAAACTAGTACATATCCTTCTACACAAAAGATTTTTCCCCTCTGCTTTAAACTCTAATACCTACTTTCCCCTTTTTTCACAAGGTCCTGTTCCCATTGGAACAAGTTCACATTCTCAACCCCAATCTCCAGAGCTGCTTTTTCCTTACTAGCTTTTTAGACCAACTTGCCAGATCTTAGGATTGGAAAATCATATTCATGGAATCCGAGTAGCATGCCAACAGTAGCAGGTAGTGCTAATGACTCTTGTTTAGAACTTAAAAGTGAAGGTAAGGATTAAGATTGTTTTCAGGAACAGAGAAATCTAAAGATATGGTTAAAATTTTTCCAGTTCAAGATGGAACTTTGTTTTCAGTATTTCCTTGGTTGAAAACAGCAAATCTCTTGCAAATGTGTTGGGCCGATTTTCTTTCCTTGTTTAGCGATACATATACCAGTGATTCTGTTGGATTCAGTGTTTCTTGTGCTGTTTTGCCAAGTTTGGTTTTGCCCACTAAATGTGGAGGGGGTTTAGAACAAATATTAAGGCAACCTTAGCTAAATCCTCATGATAAATTTGTCTGCGATGCCAAAATAACTTAATCGCTGTGGACTAATTTTTCATCCCTAGTCCCTGTCATTCCTTCCTATAGCTTTACATTAGAGAATCCTCCTGTCACAGGGGAAGATTGTGCTCAGACTTGGAATAGGCCCCGGAGAGTCACCTCTCACACAGACAGTGCTGTCAAGTACAGGACAGATTCTTTAAAGTAGAGAAGACTTTAGACTGCCAAGTGGATCTTGATACAAGAGAATTTGACCCTACACATACAAGTTTCAGCTCTGTTTCTGAAATAAATCTGTGTGACAGTTTTGGGGTTTTGCCTTGTTCAAACATGCAACTATTTGGTCCACAGAATAATTCAGTTTAAGTATAGGAACAGCATTTGCTAATGTCAAAACATTGTTTATGTACAATTTAATCTCCTGTGATGGTGTATTTATTGCTGTATACTCACTTGAGTTATTTTCATCAAGAAATTCTGTCTATGTGTCGCTTTGGCAACATCTTTGCAGAGCTTACAACTTTGAAAAACATGTTGGCATCAGCTATGCAGTCCTTTTAAACAGCTGCTCTGCAGTCATGCTGTTTCAACATGCCACCACACATGGCTGAATTATGCAAATAGTTAATATTAAATGACTGAGATAGAAGAACAATTTGTACACTCGATAAAGCCAGTCTGTGGAGCGTAACACCCATTCATGTAACTGAGTTAGTGTGCGACAATTTAAAGGCTACAGCATGATTCTTTTGACTTTATATATTTTACTAAAAGCAGCAGTGGACAGAGAGAAGGTATATGGCAGGAATGTTTTAAAAGGCTGAGGCCTTTTTTTAACTCATTACTAATAATGCAATGAAAATAGAATGTGCATCAATGTAATTTTCTGGCAAGTATTAAGAAATAGGTAAGATGTAACAAATGTTTGTCGTTCAGCTATAAATATGAATTGCCCTGTTCTCGCTGAGAGATAAGATAAAATGTTAATTATAAAGAATGTTAATGCAGTAACAGTATTGCTTATTGAAGACAACACCATTTGTAAAAAGCAAGAAAACAAAAACAATAATAGTTTTTAAAAAATGTAACATCTTAAAATTTACTTTGAAAGGCTTTTCTACTGGCTTTTCTGTTCTACAATACTGAATACTCTAAATAATAATAATAATAGTAGTAGTAATAATAATAATTCATGCTTTAAATTCTGTAATTTCCATGGACCAGAAGGGGAACATTAGGCACTAAGTGTGATGCAAGATGAGAAAAGAAGATGTTCAGTTAAAGTCAGAAAATGCTATTTTTTTCCTTTTTCACTCTACTGTACATTTTGAATAATCTCTTTTATTCAGCTAAATAGTAAGGAAAGATTACTTTTTTAATTAATCCAAATTGTTTTCAAAGCAAATTATTAGGATATCCAGAAAATGTCTGCATTTCTATATGTTGTCATTTTTCTTTTCCCATGTTGGAAATTTAATTTTCCACAAAATTTCTTTTCCACTCTGATCCTGTTTCTGCTGTACATCCTCTTAAGGTTTTTCATTGTTTTTTTCTTTTCTAATCTGGATATAAAGACATATATGTGTCTCTAGTAATGTATTTATATGGTTTCTGTGCAAGTAATAGTGCTCAAAAGTCCAGTTTGTCACAGTCATTCAAATTAGATTTGTAAACTCTCTCAGCCTGACAAAATAAATGCAAATAAATTCTTTTAAATTAAATGGAAGTTTAAATTAAAAGAGATAGTGGGTTCCTATTGTACAGTAAATGTTCTCTTTTGCTGCCTTTAAGCAAGACAAAATTTGAGTTATGTAAATCCTCCGTGCCCATTTTATTTTTTTACTTTTACTGGGGTCCAATTAGTAATGTTATTAATTATAGCAAGTATATGTTCATTCTTGTTATCTTTGCTGATCCACTTACACATTTAGTTTGGTGAATATAAAGTTATTATTAACAAATAAATATTTAATAAGTTCAAATGTAATTTAACTGAATAACTTAGCATTATTCTTTTGTGGTTTTATAGGAACTAGCCGCAATGAAGCAGATTCTAATGAGTCTACATGGTAAACGCTATGAACAAAATCTACCTCAGTCTCATACTGATGTAAGAAGTGCAACTGGAAAAAACAAATCAAACCCTTCAGTAAAACTGCTGCCAGAACATGAAGAAGAAAATATATTTACACCTAAGCCAACATTATTTGTAAGTACTATGGTAAGAGTAAGTGCCATAAACTTTTTTGATAATTGTTCTCACTTTTTAAAAAGAAAAACACGGGAGATGTATAATTAATTCAGCTAAATACTTGCAGCTCTTTATGAAGTGGTCAACATTGAGGAGATAAATTACAGTTTTTGATGTTATTTAGCTATTTGATACTTTCTACATCTTAAGTTCACAGCAAACTAGGTCTTTTTTTAAAAAAAAAATTGTAATATTTCAATACTAAGAGTAGTTAGCAAAATTTTAATAGTTGTAGAGATTCACCGACTGTATTATTTTAAATCTATCATGATCATGTATGAGTGGAGTGTGTGCATATATACTGAGCAGCAGGAGTGAGGAAATAGGTGTATTTATGTATACTTATAGTCATGTATCTTGGCTAGGCTTCGCGAACGAAGATTTGGGAAAGGGATGTATATTAATGTGTATGTATCTAAATATATATTAAAGAAATGGAAGATCAGTATTGATATCACCTCTGTTGCTAAGGACACCTGATATTATAAACCCCTGTTTTATTCCTTCAGAAACTAAATGCTTGGATTTTAATACATGAAGTGGCCCACTTCAGATTTAGTGCCTCTGGTATTTGAAAGCTTCATGAAAATGGTTTAGAAGTTTCTGACTATGGCTGTGTCTGAACTGATAACTTCAAGAGAGACAAGTTGCACTGCTGAATCTCAAAACAAATCATGACTCCTATTTACACTTCACGATGCTACTTTTCTGTAGGGTGTATCCACACTACAGAGCATATGTGCTATTGTGGTCCAAATATGAGTTTTGGATATTTTTCTTTTCTTTTCCTGGTGGGGACTTTAATATTCAGTGTCTTAAACAGTATGAGGTTTGTGTTGCAGCAGACCAGACACTGGGTTTATAACACAAAATGTAGAAAATGGCTGCATCTCTTGGACATGATGTGAGAGCATTGGGGGATTTTAGGGGTTCAGAATTTGCTTGGATAGTTTATGAGACTAAACAGAGGCTTACCCAGTGCTGTCTCATTCACAGTCCTTTTGGTAGTGGTAAATCATACTGCTCAAACTTTGTCTTTGATGGAGCTGTTCAGTGATCCAAAACATGAGAAAACAATTAGTTTGCATAGATGATCCAGAGTTTCAGTGCGTAATCTGTCCTGTCTTACTTAGGGATATAGATGGCATAGGTTTTCTTGTTAGATAGGGAAAAGAAATTAGTAGTCCTGTGAAAATTCTGCTAGTTTAGGTCAATTTCTAGAATTTTTAAAGCTTGCACAGATAGAGCAGATTTATTTTTGTAACTGAATTCTTCAAAATTAATAAAGTAGATCTTTAAATTGAGTGGTTACTAAGTCTTGGAGGAAAGAATGAATAGAGAGCAGACAGAAAATGGAACTAGAAAGTTTAAGGACAAAACACTAAAGAGATGGTATTCACTAACTCAAGAGATTATACCCAACCCTGAAAGCAGAATAGCCCTTACTGTGTTCCACCTCCACTTCATTAGTTTTATTTCTATAAAAACTAAAACTATTTTGTTTTATACAAACCACCACTGAATTTGCAACAAGAATGTTAAGCAATCCTGACTGTGTAGCAGTAGCCCATAGGATTATGAAGGCAAGGCAAAGTTGCTCATGGATAATTCTCTGCAATTAAAATACTGTCTACAGTGTCAGAAAACTCCTGAATTCTTTTATTTTTATTTATCATTTTTTAAGAACGAAATTTCTGCATAAAGTGTTGGTCAGTTTTGGCACACCTGAGATCTCTCTGCTAAGTTCCATTCTCTTCTCAGCTGGGAAAGTCAGATGATGTTATTTCAAATGAAACCTATTTATGGCGCAGTTATGCATGTTTTCATTGTGATGGATATTTTTAAAAATCATTTAGCTTTTACTGTATAGTCTGCTTTTTATAACCTGGAAATAGGGAGGTTTTAATACAGATATGTTGTAATAGTAACCTTAAATGCATACTTTTGTTTTTAATATTTGCATTTAAGCAAAAACCTCAATTATCCCTGCAAACTACAGAAGAAGGAAAGAGACTTTAGTGTAGATTGCAAGTTTTTCTCTGATGTTCACTGCCTCACAATTAAATGTTCTTTATTTTACAGACAAACAAAGAGGCACCTGTATGGTACAAGAAACTGCAGAAGAAAACATAACCCTAGCATTTTCCGGAAGTATTCAAAATAATTCTTTGGGGAGCTTTTCTTCAAAGGAAGTTATTTTCACCATAATGATGCCCTTTTTACCATAAAAGCAAACAACTCTTTTGGTTTTAGCAACTGTTTTGGTTCTTTTATAACTGTCAAATAATCTTATGCTTCATAAAATAATTTTTAGATCTGTCATGTGATTAAAATGTGTGTATAAAATGTGTGGAAATAAGGTGTGCAGTGATTTTACTAACATATATTTGAATTTTAAAAGATAAATAAACATTAGCCTGTTGTACACATTTATATCTGGGCAGTTAAAGGACATGTTATTCAGAGTGTTCAAATGAATGCATGTTTCAGCTTTTTTATATTATTTTTCTTGGACCCTGTGTTTCATGCCACATTCCTTGCAACTGTTCGGACTTACAGAAATTTAAAAAATATACATGATTTAGCATTAAACTATATCCTACTTTCTATGAAGGAAATTCATGTCAGCTGGAAAAAAAATTACTTATCAGCTTTGATCTGTAGTTTATCATTTGATGTCATTAGTATAACCAAAAAGGCATTAAAAATACTCTAAAGAAGCAATAAAATGCATCCTAATTATCAGCACTGATACTTAATGGGCTAGATAGTAGTGTAGTTACATCAATGAAATAATAAAAAAGGAACCCTGATGTGTGAGTACTGTAAGGCTGTAATGGTGAAATGGGTAACTTGCCATATTTAATTGTATGAAAATAAGCCCCATCTTCCAAGAAGACATTCTACTTATTTATTCTACTCCACCATCTATTTTGACTATAGAAAAGTTCTCTAATATTTTAAAGCACTTTTGACTGCATAGGGTTTATTTCTATATATAACATAAATATAGATTATATTGTTTTAAGTACTGCATACTGAAAATATTGCTTGAATTTCATTTAAGAGAAAGCTCCTTTTTCTTAGCTTCTTTTTCCTTGACAATATTTCTTCAATCGATTATTTGTTCCTACCTGGACACGAACAGTAATTATTTAGTCTATAATACTGAGTTATATCAAGCTGAAGATTCCCAGATACACTTTTCTTCATTTTCCAAACAGCAATTTGAAGCACTGCAATACCTCCTCTGCTCCAGAAAAGCTTCAATTTCTTTAATTTTCCTTTTTTATTTCTGAGAGAGTGAGGTAAAAATGCTAGTAATTACACATCACAGGTTTAAAATTATCATTTTGTGACTGAGGGAGGCCAAGTGTGTAGATAGAGATAATATCTTTTATTAGGCTTTTCACTGGGGAAGAAAATCACACAAACCTATCAGTATAGACATTTCTAAATAACTTTGGTTTCCTGAAGTCTAGGTTTTATTTAATTTATATTTTTATGTTAATAGAACCCTTCAGTTTTATTTCCCATGAAACAGCTCCTATATGCAGACAGTAATTTTGTAGTTTGCAATAGATACTTCATAATGAATCAGTCCCCAGTTTAACTTCCCAGACTATCCAGTTTGTCTGTTATCAATGAATAATTAAATTGTATTATCTAGACGGACTGTGAGTTATTTTAGCTAGATACTAGCTAGAATCTTTAGTATTTACTATTTGTTCTCCTATAGTATCCTTATAGACAAACAGACCTTAAGGTCCTACTGGACAATAAATGGAATATGAGTCAGCAGTGTGCCAGCCAGCTGCATCCTGGGTGGCATTACCAACAGGATAGCCAGCAAATGCAGGGAAGTGATTCCTTCTGTTTGGTACATGGGAGATCACATCTGGAGCACTGCATCTGGTTTTGGGCTTGTTCAAGAAAGACATTGACTGACATATTGCTGTGAGTCTAGCAGAGGTGCACCAAGATGATCAGGGGCTAAAGCACCTGATGTAGAAGGGGAGGCTGAAAGAACTGGATTCATACAGCCTTAAGATTAGAGGATTTAGGGGAGGAACTTGTTGCAGTCTCCAACTACCTAAGAGACAGCAGAGTCTCTCAGAGGTGCACAGCAATAGCTTAAGAGACAATGGACACGGGATGGAGCACTAGAAAACTCAATTAGTTCTTATGAAAAATATTTTTACTGTAAGGGTGGTCAAATACTGGAACAGGTTGCCTAGAGAGGTGGTGGAATCTTCATCCTTGGAGATATTCAGAACTCAACTGGACAAAGACCTGAGCAAACTGGTATAATTGGACCTGACTTTGAGATAGACTAGATAACTGATTTTCAGAATTCTTGTCCAACCTAAATTACTTTATAGTGTTATTTCGAAATATACTGATATAAGATAGTGACACTTATTTGCTTCTTATCTTCCAAAAGACAAAATTCTGTTTAATTCTTCTATGGAAATACAGGAAACGCAGGAACATTTTGACTCCTACAGAATTGTGCATTGTAAAGTTCTGTGTCCTCCATGCAGTCCAATTTTCTAAGGCTGCCAGAATATTAGGCTGATTTGTGGAGAAATTTTATTAACATTTAAACAGTTCTTCAGATGACAAAGTGACATATTCTGACAAAGGATTGTGGTTTTTTGGTTTGTTTATTTTTTTTTAAATTATTACTGAGGTCCATCTTTAGATGTGCAAAAATAAAAGTAATTTGTTAGAATACACTGATAACATATAATGTTGTTGGCAAGTTCTTGTAATCGCTGTAGGCCCTTTGTAAATCTTCTCAATATGTTTTTTTTTTTTCCAGTTGAAGATTTTGTATTTTTCCTGTGATTCCTCACTAGACTCCAAGGCTATAATTAATTATCTAGGAGGAGACCTTCTAAGCCTCTCATGAGAAAGCTAGAATGTCACTTAAATATAACTATTCAAACGTAAGATGCCCTACAGCAAAAATTAATTAAGCTTTTTGCTCTTTAAGTAATGAAAAGGCGCAGTTGCATTACCTGTGCAGCACCTTTACTGATGTTCTTTCCCACAAACATAGTTGTCAAATGAATTGTTCCAAAATTCTTCTTCATGGTCTTTGCAGTCTCGCATTGTAGCAGACCTTGTGTCAATGATGTGTGAGTCAAAAATAATGAAGTAAAGAGAAATTTCTAAGGCCGGTCATGCATGTAAGTAACTTGTGACTGAAGTGCCAACCCACATAATCATCCTCAGTTCCTCTTTTTCAAACCAAAGGGAGCAAAGCCTAAATAAATCTCTATCCACTATTACATTTCGTGGTAAATTAAGTAGGTGTTACTTAAGTGATAAGTTTTGTAAATATAGGGGTTGAACTGGAAAGAAGGAAGGACAGTGGTTTAGAGCAGGTTAGGATGTTTTTCCTTATTTTTTAACACTGTAATTGCTTTCTTTCCTTCCTGTCCCTTGTTTGAACCAAAGAACCTTTAGTTCATCAAGGTAATCTCTTATTTGAGGAAAAAATTGAAAACATATAATTACTTTTTTTTTTAATAAGGACCTAAACTTTTATGGCCTATTGCTGAATCCTGTGGTCATAATTCACTGGCAATGTAGTTTCTAAATATTTTCTGTACAAAGAAGCAATATGTCATTGGGATTTGTAGTCTTCATCCCTTTCAGGATTCTCTGTACAAAACAGTGATGAAACCTTGTGAAAGATGAAAAACTAAATTCAAATATTAATTGTCTGAGTATTTGTCGGTATCTCTGGAATTTCCTGCCTCTTATACATTAGCTGTTATTTTCTGCCTCAGTTATACTTTTGTAGGATACCTAGTTCCAGAAAAAAAAAGAGGAACGCTTAAGTCTATTAAACCTCTGACATCTGCAAGACGATCAGGCAGAACTCTTTTACTCCTGATAAGCATTCATCAACTTCCATGTCTTTGAAATAGATGACTCAGAAAACATGACACTGTAGAAACAAATTATTACCTTTTGAAAAAGTATTTATGTTATTATATATGTGTGCCTCAATCAATTGTCAGTTTGTAGCACATTTACGTGAAAACAGATTTATACACAACAATCTGAGTCTGTAACATCCTGTCATCTTTCAGGGTTGTGCTCGTTAGGGAGATCTACTGAGGAAAGCATTTCTCTCCCTGTTAACGTTACATTTAATAGATCACATGCCAGACTTCTTACTGAGTCAAAGAAATGTATCCCTAGTATTTTCCTATAGCAAAGAATATCAAGAATCTGTATTCATTCTCAACCTTTGAAAATGAAATAAGTATCTCGAGAAGATCAAGTTTTGCTTGGTGTCTTTGGGCAATATTATCCCCTTCTTAAATTCCTCGGATTGACTGGGAACTCTTGACCTTTAAAATGCATGCTTCCGTAGCTTAAGTAAGGCAGTTACACTTGGGGTATTTCGGACTGAAGCTGGGCAGCAATGGACAGCAGTATGGGGTGCCAGCTCTCAGGGGACAGCATCGCTGGCGGAAATGTACAGTAGCTGGGAATTAGGGGAGAGGGAGTGGCGAGTACTGCAGAAGCTTTGAGCAGTAGAAGAAGTAGGTACAGTTCGTCGCAGATGTCAGACCCTCTGCAGCTCTTTAAGCCCTCTGCTGACAGCACAAGAACCACGAACTTGCTTCCACAGAGTTCATTTTGAAGAGTTCCCCGGGTTTCTTTCCTCACTGATAAGTTTTCCATAACAGTAAATACTTGTGGGTTTCGTTTCTTGTTTTTTGTTTTTGAGAGAGACAGAGACTTTTTCTCAGGACACTGGAACTAGATTCAAAAAAATGGTGAATTTCAATCAGCTTACCCTTTAAAGGATGAAGGGGACTAAAATTCCCAGCAAATTTCATCCCCATAAAAGGAGCAAATGGCAGAAGTATTAAATGTAAAAAGTTAGGATTGATCATGGAAATAGCTTTTACTCAAAAACTTACATGTTTTCACAGACTGTGTGCCCTTTTTGAAGATACTACAGAAATAACCACTGTAAAAGAGAATGCCGCTTTGACTGAAGTAATAGAATCAACTTTGTTTGACCATGAATAATTGAAGTCTTTGTGTTAATGCTCCTTTTAAGGGAGTAGTGGATCAGTAAATGTAACTTAATTGCAGGAAAAGTCTTATGGATGGAATTTATGACTGTATTTCAATGAAAGTCTTTTCATTTTTCCTTTTGGTTCAATAGAAAAAGGATTACTTAGATTATTCACTGTTGCAGCTGAAATTGTTAGCAATTCCCAGTGGTCCTGTTTTTCGTGATTCTAGAGATACATATTGTGGCATGCAAGACTGTCTTTTGTTTTCTTATTCAGTTTTTTAGAAGAATTTGTTTATTTTGTGTGTTATTATTAGGTAGATCTAGCAATGTAGTGCTTGACTTCTACAAGGGAATTTTCATATAAAATGTATATGTGAAT